AATAAGGCCAGCGATGTTGTATGGCACAGAATGTTGGGCGGTGAAGCATCAACACGTACACAAAATGGGTGTAGCGGAGATGAGGATGCTTTGTGGGATGTGTGGGCACACGAGAAAGGATAAGATTGGGAATGAAGATATCCGAGGTAAAGTAGGAGTAGCCGAAATTGTAGGAAAGATGAGAGAAAATCGGCTCCGGTGATTTGGACATGTGCAAAGAAGGCCGACTGACGCTCCGGTTCGAAGATGTGACTACGGGACAGAGGTTCAGGGCCGAAGGGGTAGAGGAAGACCTAGGAAAACTTTGGAAGAGACTCTAAGAAAAGACTTAGAGTACTTGGATCTAACGGAGGACATGACACAAAACCGAGCGCAATGGCGTGCTAGGATTCATATAGCCGACCCCACTTAGTGGGAAAAGGCTTTGTTGTTGTTGTTGTTGATGTATTTTTTGAAAACGGAAAACGAAAACTGGCGAGGAAAGAAGAGCCACAACAGAGTTCGATAAAAACCAGCAAAGAGAATCAAACCCAGTTGAAGTCGAAATCAGAGGCACCATCGGCAATGCTATTATATTCAACTCCAGATTCAAATCCATGGCCGCGGTGGCCAATTGGGACGAAGAGAGCCTTCTAATTGCAAGTCGGGTGGTCGACGATACAGCGGAGAGAGATTTTAAACACAGGAGATGCTCTGTCTTGGACTCCAAGACCCCACCCACAAATTCATCAAGAAGGTATCAAATAATATGGATTATTCAATCTTTCTTGAAAATTATCTTATTCGTCCCGTTGGGATTGAACGATTTTGGATTTGGATTTTGAATCTTTTGCTTTTTCTGGTTCAGAGTTGGAATCGGAATTGCCAAGATTGAAGGAGATTTGAGGTTATGGATGGTAAACGGACATTAACTTGCAGTCAGGGGCAAAATAGAAAATCCATTGCTTAGGTCATTTTAATTGGGCTGATTTAGTATTGGGTTTTGTCCTAACCATTAAATAAAGTTAGTACATGATTTTTGGTTAATATTCAAAGTTTTCAAGCTCTTATCATTAGTTTTCCTTTTGATTAGTTGCCTGTAACAGGAAAAAAAACATTAAAATCTAAAAGAGGAAAATGGAACAATTAATTAAACAAGACTTTTAAAAGAGGTGGGCGAAATAAATCCAGAGTCGCAATTTTCCTACCAAATTTTCCCAAATATGTTCATTTACAATTTAACCCGACGAAGGCCATAGGAATTACTTTACCAACTTTGTTTCCCAATCATTGAGAAAGTGGTTGATGCAGTTTTAAATAACGATCGATCGTATGCCCTAAAGTAATAGACTTGGTCATAACAAACAACACAGTCACTTAGTACTACGTAGTATTTCTATTTGCTTATAAGTAAGAGATTTTAGGTTTGATTCTTGTTAAATGCAAATTTAAACTATATAAGTACTAGCTAATTATGAGGCTAAGACCCCCTCCTCCTTAGTATAAATAATATCGTTTGTTAAAAAACACAAATATATACGTACACCCTTTAATTTGCCTGATCAGTTTTTCCGTCAACCCCTCCCTTACCCCAGTAGGATACTACAAGTAGTATACACGATGGGGCGATGTGAGATGAATTCATGCATATTAAAGAAAACGATTGAGAACTGTTCAAGATATAACTATAGGGACTCATACATGACAAGTTTTTTGGTCGGTTAACCATATTCTGAAGATTTGGGATAACCGATATATAATTATTTATGCAAGTGACTCTCTATCACAGTGATGAAAATAAGTGTTTCCTTTGCATCACGGTGTGAGTTTAAATCTCTGTTGGCTCACTAATCTAACACCTAATCTAACAAATAAATCGTTTAACCAAAAAAGAAAGGTATATAATCATTTGTAATATTCTTTTACTACATAAATAAATTGAGATTTTATTTAAAAGAATATTTTACATTTTTTTATCTTGGCTGAAAAGCTACGACGAATTGTAAATTATCGATTTTCAATGGAATTTGTAAATAAAAATGTATATTTCTATCTCTTTTTTTATTATATATTTTTAGAAGGTGGGTTCTGCTAGTCAAATAGAGATAAAAATAAATGAGTTGCAAATTTCATCTTTTTATTGGAAGAAAATTTTCAATGTGCCAGGAATACGATCTGGCACACTAAGTGTCCTAATATAAATTGTTGAATGCCTAATAAAAAAAATTCAACTATTTGTATTATAACACTTGGTGTATTAGAGTATGTTCTCAACATACTGAAAAAAATTTCTCTTTCATTAAAGTGAAACTCATATTACATTTCCAAAAATGTAAATATAATTTTTACATCTCAAATTTACATCTCTTTGTTGGAAATGCCCTAATCATCCCGACTACTACACTATATTTAAGAAATTATTGTTACCCCATCAAATAGTTTATAATTACATGCCCTTATTTTACTTATAATGGCTCACTTTTATAATGAACACATGGGTGTGCTTTTCCATCAAACCGAAATTGACTTTAACTATATCATCTAAGCCCCATTTTTATAGGATACTAATTTCAACGTACTATGTTATATTTCGTGCACATTCTTTATTAATTGTGACCGCTAATTTTACTTGAATTGTTTATAACGGTTACAACTAGAAAGGTGTCAATGAGATGAGAAAGGGTTTGTAAAAAGATTAGCCCGTTTTTATATTTATTACAGAATTATTATGTAAACTTCAAAATAGTTATTATGCACTCTTTTTTAGTGAAAAATAAAGATATACCGTTTAGATTTAATTCTAACCACTTTGCACACCACTTAATTAATACATTTGAGTCTCACTTGTATAAATAAAACGCAAGTCTCTAAACCTCTATTGGAGAGGTGACCAACAAATGTAATTCCAATATTATTTGTCAAAGAAAATAATCAAGGGATATGTAGTTATATTCTAATAACAATTCTGCTTTCTTTTCCATATATTTGACATGATGAGACCTATAAACTACAAGAAACATGTAGGAGCTGAGTTTTTAATGGACTGACTTTGTAGGAACTGATGTTCTAAGGAGCTGAGATCTAATTTATAAGTAATGCTGAGTTTTAGTGAACCCATTCTTGTTACTTGAGAGCATATCCAATGACTCAAAATTCATATTTGAGTTCAAATATAAGGTAAAGTATCTCAGATGCACATGAGATTTGGTTTCGAGGCAAAGTGATATCCAAATTTGAGTTTCAATATGAGATGGGTTGTTAGTGGAGCCATGCTAACAAGAAAAAAATTTATTAAAAAAATTAGGATTTGAGTATTGAGTCCATTGTTTTCTCTTCCAATGCAAAACCTTAAATCTTAAAACTCAAAATGAGTCTAAGGCCTTCCACAGCGGTGCAAGTGAGTGTGATTATTACATATAGGAATCAAATATCCTGAGTTGATTTCTATAACACTATTGTTACACTATTGTTAGTTCAATTTATTAGTACCACACTCATGAGTTTGATATATTGGTATATCACTCAAATTTTCTGAACTATAGAAGTGTAATTCCTATATGAGTTTAATATATTGGTATTACACTCATTTTTTTGGGTCTACTGTAGACGACTTTATAATTTAAGTCTTTACATTGGAAAAGAAAACCAAAATACATAAATCCACTACCCTTTTTAGACTGAATATAAGAGTTTAGGCTTCAAATCTGAGTCCTTATATTGAAGATGCTCTTAATTTTACACACAAAATTGAACTCAGTTCCAATGGTTCTATATATTTAGTTTCCATACATAATTTAGTTTTTTTTTCCTTAACAAATAATATTATCTATACTAAAATGATGAGGGAGTGTGTTAAGCCTCACAATAGGCTAACAATAATATGAATTAAATTCTCCTTTGACACTAAACCGTAGTACTAAGAGCATCTCCAGTGTAGTCCCTAAATATAGACAACCACCGTATAAAATGGGTATAAAACAAATATAGGGACAAAATGAATCTCCAATGGATCGGAAAGTAAGTTCCTAAAGTATAGAGACTCAACGAATACATAATGTTTGTCCTCACATATAGGAATTGTATAAGAACAACCTTAAGTGGAAAACATGCCCACAATCTTGATTATAACTTTTAGTTAATTAAAAAATGGTTAACATAAACAACAAAATGTGCACTTTTAGTAAAAAACGGGACCCACAATCCTGATTGAAGATTTTGCTTTTAATTTCTTTAATTTTCATGCATTGAATTAATTAAAAAAAAGGTTAACATAAGTAAAAAAATGTGTACCTAATCAAATTATCACATAAAACTATAAAAACTTCAAATTTAGGGATTCTACTATAAGGATTCTACCATTAAAGTTAATATTCCTTTAAGGAGAATCTGGTTAAATTGGGTTTGGTTAGTCGGGTTAGGTTGGATTGGGGATGGACAGACAAATGTTAAACCCAACTCAACCCAATCAATGAACAAGTTGAAATTGGGTTGGGTTCGAGCTAGTTATAACTAAAAAAAATCCGCTTGTTCGGGTTTAAAGTCGGATTGGATATGGATGGGTTCGGATTGGCCCAACCCAAGTTGCACCCCTAATATTCATTATATTATAATGACGAAATTAGTATCTATTATATTGTAATACATCAATTAAACGAATATATTTTTAATATTAACGAAGATGAATATAACCGTTAACCGATGACAAATTCATTATCCGATGAATATGATTATGAATAACATCTAATAGTTAATTTACAGTTATAGATATGATTAATTTTTATGATTATGAAGATAGATATAATATTTTCGTCTTTAAATTGAACCGTTGCCATTCTAAAACGCAAATTTCACTATAATATTTAAAATAATAAAATGATAATTACTCTTATTATTTTCAAACATTTTACCTTCTCGGTGCTTTAGTCTAATGCACATAAAAAGCAACCCTCTGCAAGCACAAAATCAAGAAAGTCCCTCTCTGTCTCTCTGTCTCCCTCTCTGGCTCTCTTCCCTCTGGGCCTCTGGCTCTCTGATATCTCTGTCTCAGAGGGCTCTCTCGTCCCTCTGGCTGTCTGATATCTCTGTCTCAATGTTACGCCGCCAATGCCAAATGAGATTTGTCTTGTATTATTGCATTGGCCGAGAACATTTAATGCATGAGCCATGACTAGTATACCTGAGGTTCAATTTTCATCATTTCGGAGATCCCATATCCAGATATGTGAAAACAAAACCCTAATCTCTTCTTCAATCCCCACCGTTGAATTCATCAGTTCACTTCTACTTTATATACAACCCCCCTCTTCCTCCATTTTCAGCTCACTCAAATCCGAAAAAATCTCGTTCCTCTCTTCTCAGTTTTTCAATGGGTTCGAAAGCTCTAAATCCTAAGGCTCAGCCTTTTTTCTTGAACCGTTTTCAGACGCCTTATCTTCCTGCTTGGCCTGTATGCGCATATCGAATCGTTCATCAGCCTAGATCCTTTTTTTGCCAACTGAACTTGGTCCAACCCAACCCAACTACAAAAAGGGTGCCGAGAAAGAGTGTTGAGAGTAAGAGGAATTTTGCTCCACCAAGGTCCAGAAACCCTTTGAAGAAGCTTGAAGATGAGAACCATGTAGTGGGTGCTCCTAGGGTTCTCGCCTGGGTGCCCAAGAAAGATCTGCCGGCTGGGAAGAGGTATACAGCGTCGTATCGGAAGATAAAGAAAGATACTGTGCGCGGCTGTGATGATGGCGGTGGCAGTGGCGGTGGTTGTGTAATTCCGTTTCCTGCAAGTCCTGATCTGGAAATTAGCTCCGGTCCTACCACGATCATGATAAAAAACATCCCAAACCAATTTCAGTAAAAACTCTTTATGTTCCTGGTTTTTTGGTTGGTCAAATTACTGTTCTTGGTTTTGTTTTTATTTTTCTTTGGTTATTTTCCGTACAAGCAGTAACTTTAGTGTTCGGATTTAACGTTAAGGTTCGGTTCTTTTTACTTTATCATAGCTTGTAAGCAGGAAGTAACTGTTTTGTCTTCCTATCCTTGAATCCTTTTGTGTTAGAAACAAGACGCAAGACGCAAGTTTTTTTCTGAGGGAACATGAAACACAGATATAAGTTTATATGCTGTTTTTTTATTTTTTTATTTTGTAAATCTGGTCATACAGAAAAGTTAATAATATATATACTGTGCAGGAGGTGTGATTTGCTGACCGTCCTGAGAAATCACTGCCGTGATGAGAACCTACAGGCTTGCACCGAAGGTGTTACCACGAAATCTGAGTTCGATTTTGTTTATCTTCCAATGGATTTTAAGTAAGTTTAAAATGTTCAGTAACTGTCATTTTATGTAAGTTTAAAATGTTCAGAAACTGTGTTTTAATTAATTAAATTGTAAAAAAATTGCTAATCTGTGTCCTTTTATCCCTGTAGGCAATTTTGGAACCACAAGAGGACTGCCAATCTGGGCTATGCCTTTGTTAATTTCACCAGTTTTACTGCTGCAAAGAGATTTTACAAGAAGTTTCACAATGAACAATGGAAGGTCCGCTGCAACAAGAAAACATGTGAAATCACTTGCGCTAAGGTTCAGGTTGACGTTCTACTCTTTTACTGGACCGGTTTTTTATTTATATATAGTTTCGAATGTTTTATTTGATGGTTTGAAATCGACTGATGTTATTGAGCTTTGATCATTTTGGTTTTGACGTGTTGTAGGGGCTCGAAGCACTGAAGAAGAACTTTGAGAGTAAAGTGTTTAGGTGCCACTCGGAGGAGTATTTGCCTGCGGTGGTGGAACCTCCATGTGACGGTGTTCTGCAGCAGCCCAAAGTCACTTCGGTGGGGACACGTGTAGGGTTGCCCTTTGTAGATTATTGATAGGGTGAGAAGTGAGAGATGTGATCGTAGAGTGTGAGGAGAGAGTAGATGGGATGACCTGTGTTTTCACTCTCCCTAGCTTGAGTACTCTAATTAGCACTTCTGATTTGGTTGCAATATCTAGGGTGAAGTGAAAACATAGAGTTTATGATCATGACTAGTCTTGTTTAGTAGTTTATTTTCTTCTCTTAAGCTAAGTTTTAATTAGCATGCATGTGTAATGTTAATCTCGGATTTGCTTAATAATTTTTTCTAAGTTTTTATGTTTCATGTAGTTAAATAGTTTCTTAAATTTTCTTAATCTCGTCTTTTCCATAGTCTAAAATATCCATAATATTCCTATATTTCCATCGAAATTTCCGTGTTTTTGGATTACCGATATTTCCGATATCATCGATATTTTAGATCTTGCTAAGTCATTCATGTATATTACCATGCAATGTATAAAGTGTAAAATATTGTACTAATTCATTATATATAAATGATTATGGTGTGTTTAAATTTCTTTCATTAATTACTACATATTTTCTATACTTACAATATTTACCAGCTCGCTATATAATCAACTTAAATCAGTTATATTTATCATGCAATGCATTTCCTTTCAATTTTTTTTGTGATAAACTAATAAATAATTGATTAAATAAATATCTTGCAAAGTTTCAATAAAAATTTTCAAGTTTTTTTTACAATTTTTGTGATTTTTATTCAATTTTTATCAATATCAATAATATCCTGATATTTTTATTGAAATTTTCGTGTTTTTAGATTACCGATATTTCTGATATCATCGATATTTAATATCTTTGTCTTTTCAAACATATTTTAAGGAATAAGTTATAAAATTAATTGAATTATAAAGGAGAGAAGGGTAGGTTGAAATTTGAGCCTTCTCCCTCGATGGCATGCATATTTCCCATAGAAAAATTAAGGTCAGAAGACGAGAGAGCTATCATTCCTTAGTATAATGTGAAGCCAAGGGAGAGCGTCATACACGGCGCCCCAAACTGGAGTGAAGCAAATTTGGGTAAGCTTGACCTTGAGCTTGTTGCAAGAAATACCAATATGACAAAAAATAAAGGATAAAAAACTGTTTACTACCCTCATGTTTTGTGGTTTTCAACATTTAGTACATTAAGTTTTTTTCGTCTCAGATTCATACATAAAGTGTAAATTTTAGAACAGTCTCATACATCCGTTAGTCAAACTGTTAAATCTGCCGTTAATTGTGACGTGGCGCCCATGTGGACAATGATTGGACGCCACGTGTTATCCACATTTTTTTTTCTTTCTTCTTCTTCCTTCTTCTTCTGCAACTTTTTTTTTCTTCCTCCTTCTCCTTCTTCCTTCCTCCTTTTTTTTTTCCTCCTTCTCCTTCTTCCTTCCTCTTTTTTTTTCCTCCTTCTCCTTCTTCCTTCCTCCTTCTTCCTTCCCCTTCTTCTCCTTCTTCCTTTTTCTTCTTTCTCCTTCTCCTTCTTCTTCCTCCGAATCTGGGGAAGATGAAGGTTTTTTTTTCTCTTCCTCCTTCTTCTCCTTTTTCCTTCTTCTTCCTTCTTCTTCTTCTTCTTCTTTCTCCTTCTTCTCCTTCTTCCTTCTTCTTGCTCCAAATCTGGAGAAGATGAAGGTTTTTTTTTTCTTCTTCTTCTTCCTCATTCTTCTTCCTTCTTCTTCTTCTTCCTCCAACTGCAACTTTTTTTTCTTCCTTCTTATTCTTCCTCTTTCTTCCTCCTTCTTCTTCTCCTTCTTCCTTCCTCCTTCTTCCTTCCCCTTCTTCCCCTTCTTCCTTCCCCTTCTCCAAAAAAAAAAAAACCTTCATCTTCCCTAGATTCGGAGGAAGAAGAAGAAGGAAGAAGAAGGAATAAGGAGAAGAAGAGGAAGGAAGAAGGAGGAAGGAATAAGGAGAAGAAGGAGGAAGAAAGTCGGAGGAAGAAGAAGAAAGAAGAAGGAGGAAGAAGAAGAAAGAAGAAGGAGGAAGGAGGAAGAAGGAAGAAGAAGAAAAAAAAAAAAAAACTTCTCCAGATTCGGAGGAAGAAGAAGAAGAAGAAGGAAAAAAAAGGAAGAAGGAGAAGAAGGGGAAAGAAGGAGGAGGAAGGAAGAAGGAGAAAGATGAAGAAAAAAGAAGTTGCAGAAGAAGGAAGAAAAAAAAAAAACAAACGTGGATGACACATGGCACCCAATCATGGTCCACATGGGCGCCACGTTACAATTAACGGCAGATTTAACAGTTTGACTAACGGATGTATGAGACTGTCCCAAATTTACACTTTAGGTATGAATCTAAGACGAAAAAAAATTGATGTACTAAATGTTGAAAACCACAAAACATGAGAGTAGTAAACAGTATTTTACCCAAAAATAAAAACCCTGCAAAAGAAAACTGACATGAAATTGACCGCGTACTTTACTCCGGCGACTAGGAGCTATATATATATATATATATACATACATATATATATACATATATATGCGTAGATGCTGTCTTTTGGGCATTGGGAACAATGGGGAGGAAGGAAGCAAGTATTTCCTTTTCTTTCCGAGTAAGTGTTACAGTGGCATGCATGTATAATTTACACGTGTCTTGTGAATGTTTATCCAATGTCATAACCGTGATGAGCGCCATTGTCCTTGTAAATTTGGCCTGCCATGCACTGTACCATATATAGCAGTTATCATATTTGAGGCATTTCAACCCATATGGCCTCTAATTCCATTCGCAAGACATTTCTACTGCAAATGATGTGTTTAAACCCGATTTTGCACTCGGCCTATAGGTTTGGAGTTGTTAGATTACAAGAAAGTTAAGATGATTTCAATAACTTTTTTAGATATTATTATGGTTTTGATAATCATAGTATTGTCTGAAGGGTTATTGATAATTATCTTGAAAGTACTTGAAGATCAGGATTGGCTTCTGGATAGAGGTTGAATTAAATTGTATAATAGGACTAGGTTCATAATTCTAACTTGAGTCGAGAAATGCAAGGCTTGATGATGGAGCTTCGTGTGAGAATAATTTTGAATATATTTAGAGAATATGTTGAGAAATTGGAATATTATTAGTATTTTACCATTCGGCAGACTTGGGTATCAAAGAATTCATCTCTATAAATACAAGGAGATTTGCAACGTAGAGAGACCTTTAACTTAACACCAAAAGTTCTGCATAAAACCTTGCTTTTCGGGAACCCTTCTCACACTCTGAGAAATCACTAACTGACCTAACTCCGCCCATCACCTCTTTAGTTTGGAGTAACAGCACTCTGTTAACAATCGGCAACATCTTCATTTTGGATTAACAGCACTAGAGCTGTAGAATCAGGTGATCGAAAAGTATCTTTAGTTTGGATTAACAACACTACTTCAAGTTTGGTTGGTTATCTATCCAAGTCTTTGCCATCAAGGAGTCTTTGATTCTCTCGCTAAAAGAAGTCATCTCGTTAGCCTTCTAGATGAAGTGATGTGTTACCAGGTTATTTAATATTAGGCAAATAGAGAAACACATTGAAAAGTGCGAGGAAAATAAGGAGCATAGGAAGCGTGATGCCCATGAAGAGAGGCGAAAATCCTTCGCTCACATTTTCAAAATGAAAGTTCCTAGTGCCTTACAAGAATAGTGGGTGAACGAAGACATGGCTCGATTTAATACCTGGCTAGATGAAAAACTTTTTCCTTACATCTGGAATACAAATAAATGGATTATCAATTTGGCTGAGGAAAAAGTTAGGCCTCTTGTTCGTTTGCCTAAAGGGAAAATATGGTTGGCCTGGAAAAAAATATTCAAGTTTCTGTGACACACCCCAACCCAGAACATCCATTAAGATTCTGAATCGAGATGTGCTAGCCGACACTTGGAAAGTGACGAAGCCATAAAGTGTGATGGTGTGGAAAAATGTGAATAAATTTATACCTAAGAGTGCCTAAATACCAGAGTGCGCTGGTGAGCAGGAATGAACCCACTTCACACGTGACATTAGAGCATAAGTAAGTACAGTAGAGTGAATAAGGATTATACCCTCAGAAGTAGCCACCTATCCTGAGATTTGCCAAGAATCCTCGTCGATACGAACTTTCAGCAATTAAAACCTGGAGGGGCGCAAAACGGAAAGTGTGAGTGGGTAAAAACAAAGCTTTTCAAAAACCATTTTAATTATCAAAGGTAATAACCCCTCGCCGTAAAACCTGTATACTTCCCAGAAAATAGCATGCATGTTTACATCTCAAAACCATATTCGAAATAACAATTCCACAAATATACCATGTCAAATCTCAGTAAGAAATAAGTAAGTCAGGTGGAATAAACCAATATGAAATAGTATGTTAGCCGGAGTCACCTAAAGTGACCTGTACAATTGAGACCATAGCTCATCAATCAAATCCTGCACACGAGTCGAAACCACCTAATATGGTATGTACAACAGGTTAGGTGTAAATAAATACGCTCAAATGCTACGATCACATGAAGGTTGTGCAAAGTATTGCAAGTCACCTACGAGTCAGAACCACCTAATATGGTCTGTACTATAGGCAAGCACCTGCCTTGGATCCAAGATGAGAGTGTGATGCGGGAGGTGAACGATCACGTGAAGGCTAGGCCATGTCCTCAGGCGGAGCACTAACATCGGGGTGCAGGATAATAAGCTCTAAATACATCTCAACACAATTATACTCACTACCATCACTACCATCAATATACTCACCTGAAGCTTACCTGAGCGTCCACAGCGTCAAGCAACAATATATATAACCATACTAATGCATAATCGAACATAGAGAGCATTTGACATGGCATTTCAAAATATAAAACCATTTAACTAAGTTTTCTAGGAAAAATACCAAGTGTGTGTGTGTGTGTGTGTGTGTATATTAAAAACCAAAAGCCCATTCACTGGTATATATCTAGGTCGTAGTCCCCAAGTCTTGCATGGCTACGCTCGTCCTCTAGAAACATCTCACCTATATGTGAAACAACTAATTTAACGTTAATTCGATAGCACATATACAAAACCTAGGATTAATTTCTCATACGTCGCTCAATTAGGGTGTTTGAATATACCATCGTGGCCTACTCAACCCCCACGAGCATCCTCAGATTTTTAAAATAATTTTTGGACTTAATCTAATTTAAGTGTAAAACCCAACTTAAAACTAAATGGACTTAATCCATTTTGAACATAAGGCCTAAACCAATTCAATGGCTTAGGTCCAATTTGAAA